CATCAGGCTTCCTTGTGTGGCTTGCTTTTCTTTTAATCCTCAGAATAAAACAGTTTTATTTTGGAGCCCAACTCCAGAGATTATTAGATTTCTGTGAGCACTGCAGTAATGCACCTCACAGGTGACCAACACAAATGGCATGGTGGTTCCAGAGATCACATTAAACATGGCAGCAGGATACTTCACATCAGAAATTCTGTCTTCCTTTCCAGAAGTGTCAAAATGCTGCCCAGACCTTCATTTTGTCAGGATTTTGCCCATTCTGGTGTGGACAGCAGCAGACTTTATTCTATCCTTTGCAACGTGAAGCAAAGACGGGAGCTGAGTTCTCCCACTGTGTTGCCTACCCCTTTGCCAGCTCTGAACGACGGCTTAAAACCTCCAAAGAAGCCATAAAGCCCAGCAGTCCCCCACGAAGCCCATCTCAGAAACTGTGGCTCCTCTCCTACCCAGACTAAAGCAGTACCTGACTGACTCTCCTTGTCCGTGGACAAGGAAGCGCGTTTTGGGGTGTATTAATGAGTGTGTTGGGAGGGATTAACCACAGCCCCTCACCTTGAAATGGCTTCAGCTTGATTTCTTATGGAAATGAGGGTCTGTGATCACACGGGCATCTGTATACGGATGGCTCAGTCTGTGCTTTTCTGCCTATCTGCCCTTCCCCCAGTAACTTCTGAGCGCACTGACCAATTTCAGCAATCTGTAACAGAGGAGTAGCGGTCTTAAAGATAATTAAGTTGCTAAATGTTCATTAAAGTTGGCAGTGAACTACCAGAGAAAGAACTTATTGTCATTTAAAATAACAATATGGCTCAACACTTACTTGCCCCAGAGAATCCCCACCAGGAGGGAATTATGCAAACCCTTTTTTTTCCTCTGCACACGTGTGTTTTAGCAGAGCAGGATCCAGCCCTAAAAACTGCTGTTTCTTGCTAGATTGTTTCTAAGGTGGGGATCCCAGATCTCTTATTCCACAGATAACTAACCACCAAGCGCTGATGAATTCCTTCAAACGTGGTGCAAGGCTTGGCAGACAGTGTGCCATAACATCCCGCCGAAGGAAGCAGTTCATTCCAAACTGTACCGGGATCACTAGTAGTGTTACCTAAACGGCCAGAAATGATCTAGGGGGATGACAAACGTTTGTTTCGATGCGGTGTACGTGTTGTCGTTCACCCATTTCGTGCGCTAACCCCGTCCATTAGCACCTCTGTCTCTGGCGGCAGAGGAGCAGCTGCGTTACCCACTCGTCGCTTTGCAGGGAGGAATCATCTCACTTTGCAGCCCTGCCCCACAAATATGGGACAGCGGAGCCCCAAAGCACAGCCTGAGCAAGCGGTTGACCTTGCTTCTTCGGGAGCCCCAAACCCCTTGTGCCGTGACACAGAGAAGGGGTGGGAGTGACAAGCGTTCCCTGCTCATCCCCGAGCCCAGAGCTACCACTTAAAACAGATGTCTGTGTAAAAAAGGCCCCACACCTGCCAAACCACCAGCCTCAAGCTTCCTTCCTCATTTCTTCAGGCCTCAGAATAACATGAGCGTTTGTGCAATGTGCAGTGCACCCTGTGGTTTTCTCTTCTCCCTGAAGGCATGCTATCTAATCTCCCCGGAGCAAAAAATCAGACAGCAAGCCTTACAAGACAGGAGGAAAGAGGTGAACAGTAAAGCAATGTGCACTTTGCTCAGCTGCCTTCACTTTTCAACACCAAAAAAAAAAAAAAAAAAGGAGGAAAACCATGGGTCAGTGTTGCAGACCTTGCCGGAGAGGCATTTCAATCTGATAAAAAGTATGAGTGCCTCATTTGCACATATTATGCAGCGCGGCACCCAGAGCACTAAACTAGAAAAAATCCGTTAACTGAAAAGTCATCTTGAATCGGAAACATTCAAGGGTTCAGTTTTAAACTACGGCGAGAATTTAGTGTTTTATTGCTGCTTTGCTTTTGGTTCCTGTTTTTTGCTAGCATTGAGAAACGTGGTGCCTTAGGAAGCCGCGTGGTGTGTAACATGCAGTATCAGCCTGTATACAAAGGAAGGAAGATGATGTGGCAGAACATTGTTGAGGAAAGATCCTGTTTGTACAGGGAGCTGGAGAATAGTAAACCAGAACTGAGCAGCGATGCAGACAGAGCAGATATGAAAGGAAATCAACCCAAAATGCCCATGAATCCTGTTTGTGTTCAAGAGCCTGACAGAGCCACCGAAACAATTTAAAAATCTGGTTTGCCTTTTCTCAGATTTCCTATCCTGTAGTGGAGGGGAGGAGAGAGGAGAAGAGAGGGATGACACACTTGGTCGGATTCCCCTGCCAGTCTTTTCTCCTGTGGCAGTCCTGCAGCCGCTGGGCATGTGACTCCAGCAGCAGTTAGGTTTGCATCAGAACTGCTGGAGCTAGCCAAAAGTTTCTTAACGGTAATTGGTAATTCCTAGCTGTGTTTTATCCCAGGGACACCTGATTTCAGGATCAACTTCTGAAAAGGTCCTGTCTACCTTTGTGATTTTTTTTGAATTTCTAAAAAGCCGTCTCTCAGCTTATTTCTCATGAAACGATTAACTGATTTGATGAGCTTCAGTTCCCGATAAACATTTGCCTGTTCTGCAGATGCTGTATGTGTAACAGAGGGAAATTACTTCCCTGCGATATATACCCATTGCAGGTTGCATACTCTTTTGTTGGCCTTTTTAAAGCACAGCCACTTAAGGTCATTACACTCTCTAAATAAGTCTCTAATACAATTTTCGATAAACCAAACTTTCCAAAGTCATATCAAACATCTTGATATCAGAGTATCTTGTCTCTGCAACAGGAGGATTAGCCTGTGAGTAATCTGGGTGGTGATGCAGCAAGTGTCTGTTTTTTTCTGAACTGATTCAAGCGGTTTATAGTCAAATGTGGAGACCAATACGTGCACAGCAGCAAAACTCCATAGCTAAATACGAGCATTTGTAGTTCCTTTTTGCTTGTATATAACCTTCCTGCGTTGGTGTGAGCAACTTTGATCTTTGATACAGTGACCAGCTTCCTGCAGTAGGCGGAAGAGAACATTCTTAACTGTGTCTGCAAGCAAAGTTGCTGACTCTAAAATTCAGGCAAGCAATGCCACGGCGCATGTTATGAATGACCCTTTTCTCCTGGCCTGCTGGCTGTAAACAAGCCTGATGCAAATTTAGGCCAGGAAAGCACCATGCCAAGGTGCTTATTGATTTCTTAGTGTGGTTTGGGTGGACCCCGTTGAAGCCTTCTATAAAAAGGCGGTGCACGAAAATGCCTCCCCCATGAAATTAGCGATAATTTTAATTGTAACAAGCCAGAGACCTTCCAATGCACATCAGAGCCTTCCTGGACACGAGGAAAGAATAACATGATTCTTATCCCAAGGCACCCAAAGTGCAGTCAGCCAGTTCTGAGTGCGGAGTGAATCACAGGCCTGGGAGAGAAGGAACTGGTCAGGGATGTTGTTTTAAGCGTTGGTACAAGCCTGTTTCCTCAGGTGATTTCCACAGGGAACTTGCCTGTTTTGAGCTTTTCTATGGCTGATGAGTGACGTCACTGGACAATTTTGGTCATTCTCATGGCAGGTGCAATACAGGGGGGGCAAGGGGAAAGCAAAGGGAGGTTAAAATCCCTCCCTTGTTTTGGATACCTCACCTTGTGCTCCTCTGTGATGTGGCTGGCACCACTCACTCTCTGTGCTGATGGGCTGGGCTGAGAGGAGCTACTGGAGACAACTAAAGCTCTTGTGCCTAGCTGCAGCGAGGTGGGACAGTGCCAGGGGTTCCCCCAGCTCTCTGCCGGGTACCGTTGGGCACCGTATGGCTGGGAGGTCCCCAGACACAGGTGCCATATGGCTAGGAGGTCTCAGGACGATGAGGCTCGTGGGCAGGTATGGGCCCAGGCAGCAAGTCCTGCCTTCCCACGTGTCCCACATATGAAGCGGGAGTAGAGCTGTTTATATCAGGGATGTATTTGGTCTACATCCACATGCTCTTTCTTAGAGGTCTCGCCCTGTGCTGGGGACACACGGGGATGTATGCCGCCCCGGCACGCACGCAGTCCCTTTCACCGTTATCAGTAAATGACCCAACTCTCTGCGAGGCAGGAGCGGTGCTGCAAATTTTAAATCAAAAAATGCCCCAGCATGCTTCCCAGCCCCGAAGTCTGAGTTTGCTGGCTGGCATCCCAGGAGGGATGGGAGCTGTGGACATGGACGTCAGGTAGCCATCAACACCAAGGTTTGTATCTGCAGGATCTGGGTACAGGCACCTGACAGACCATGAGGGAGAGCTTGCCTAGGTCTACCTCTGCTGCTTCAGTGTTGACTAGGCACATTAAAAGCTTCACTGTGGGAAGAAATGCCCTCTCTTCTCACCGTTTTTTAAAATTTGTGGGGTCTGTATGATGCATGTCTGAGAAGGAAATGGGAAGGAGATGCAAATGGAAATTCCAAGCTGTCAGCAACAGAGCAAACCCCAAAAAACTTCCCATAGCATAAGTGGAAAACCCCAGGCGGTGCACTTCAGCTCCAAGGAACAGGAGACACTGAACTTTACATGGAGTCTTCTGAAATCAGAAAGTTCTGGAAATACTGTGAAAGAAGTGACTTTGTCCTGGCTGTATCTGCCCCAGGAGAGAGGAGAGGCTTAGGCAAGGTTCGAGCATCCCCGGGCACAGCCCTGCCCCTTGCCTCTGTGCCCAACCTGAGATGCTGTTCCCCGCAGCTGAACACCCTTTTTTGCTTGGGGGGTGGCTGTGGGAGGGCTCTGCTGTGCCCCTTGCTGACAGGCAAGGGAACACGCCCTGGTGTGTTTTGCTCACAGCATAAATCACAGTGTCAAATTTGGTTTTAGCTTCACTAGAGATGTATCAGAGAGAGTTTTGGCCCGTAACGGCATTATTCATGTCCAGCTGCCTTGAAAACACATGTGAATAGAGCAGGGGAAAAAATCTATGATACGAGAGCTTAATATCTGTATTGTCTAATTTTTCAGTACACCATCACCCCAGTCAAGAACTGGTCGCCATGAGCAGATAGTGCATGGAGGAGTATGGTTACAGAATCGAAACTCATCTCCAGTTAGTTTCTTATCCAAGGACTGCTGTGTTATCTCATCCCAAGAGAGAGCCGCTCCCACCAGCAATATAATTTAACAAAGCTACAAACCAAATGAGTTGCCAGCCTACAAAACCCTCATACCTATGTGATTTTCATTCTCTGCGAGGTGTGGTTTTCGGGTGGGCGCTTTCGGACTCTCGGATCCCTTTGCTAGGCTGAAGGAGCTTATGCAATACATCTGTATCTGTAAATGGATATCAACCCACCTGAGATTCTCCTGAATAAAAAGTTTAGCACTGAAAGCGTGCAAGCTTTGCAGACTTGCAGTGTCCCACACAGGTGATCGTGGTGCTGGACTGCATTAATACGGGTAAAGGCTTCCTTCTACGCGTGTGCGAAGAGAAGTGAAAATGTGATTGTCCCATACCCTTGTAGGTTTGTAAAAACAATTTTCTAGAGCCGCTAACTGCACCACTAGACTTGGTGGAAAGGATGGAGGGAGGATAATTTCCCTTGGAAAGTTTGGATGGCTGGATAGGTCTTCTCTTGTATATGCTGAAAGGGAGCAAGGGACACTGATCATCAGAGCGCTTCGCAGTCAGAAAAAAGAGTGATCATTTCAGTGCATGGAAATGGATGGAAAGAGACGACAAGTCCAGAATATGTGAAGGTAGGAGCTTCATATAGCCTTGCTGCTGGGCTTGTTTTCTGTGCTAGTGGCCACGGGAATTGGTAAAACTGGACTGGGACAGTGAAGGCTGTAATCCCAACTCATCACGTATAGCCTGCGTGTGCCCAGGCAGACACGTCTATCCCAGCCCTCTCAGATCCAGCGAGCTGCTGCGTTTCACAATCATGGGAAGGGCTTTCCAGCTGCACAATCCAAATGTTTTGAAGTGAAACATGGTGCATTATATTAACTTGGTTCAGACAATCAGCTTTAAACATCTGAATCTCATTTCTTGATGCTAATTCCTCTTGCTCAATCTTTATTTCAGCTGCGTGGAATTCTCAGACCTTTCTGACCCTGACTTACCGTTTCCCGATGTTTTATTGCTAAGTCATTGAGGTTTCAGGGAGGCTGATGTTTCTAAAATGTGCACACCTTTGATTGTACGCATGGCTGGCATGTCAGACCGAACTTTTTCATACACTCTGTATATATCACTGTCTCCACTGCTGTGTCCTCTGCAGTTTCACCATTCAGCGTGCTTATCTGCATGCCCCATTAGTGCAGTCCTCCTTAAAATGTGGTCATTATTTAAGGCTTTTCAAAAGCTCAGCTTCTGCACAGTACAAAACTCGATCTGAGCCTACGTCCGCTCTTGTCACTCATGTACAGGTTCCATCTGTTCCCCTTTTCCTCTCCCGTTGCTGCTTGCCACATCCAGACCGCATGCTGCTTATACATTGTACAATAGACATTTCTGCACACACACTTTTGAAAATGTGGCTCTTAGTGCTTTATTGTTCACATGTGTCTTGTTGCTTAAGGCAAGTTTTATCAGTAATGATTTTGTTGTTTACTGAGACATAGAATAAAATAGGGTACTATTAAAATGTGACTGGAGGACAGGAGAAGGGCCTTTGATACACCAATTACACAATTTCTGCCAGCTTTCTGATCATTCCCCCCTGCCACCACTTCCCCAAATTCTGTAGTTGCCCAAGGATAAAGCCACTGCATGAGGCTGCTCCATGTTGGTGAGGATTCACCAGAACCTCCTACGTTCCTGTGTGTGGTGAGGACAGGGGATGGGACCTCCTAGCACTCCCTTCCAGCAAGGCAGCCCTAGCTTCTGCTTTACATCTCCTTTACAGATCCCCAGTGGCACCTCTCCAAAATCACTATATTACTCCATTTGGGGGGAATTGAAAAAAAAAAAATATATATATATATATGTATATCACTACAGAAAGTCATTCTGGAAGTGAAATCAGTTCTAGGAAGGTCTGTGAAGACACTTTTCTTGCAGGAGCTGAGCTGACCTCTAGCAGCTGCCCCAGTGCATTGACTGGAGCAGAGCCAGAGGTGTGCAGCGACACGGGCATTAACGCAGGCAGATCCCCTGGGAGTTGGCTCAGGTCTTTCCCATCACAGCTTTCCTCGTACCTGTGGTGAGACTGGAGTATCTGCAAACAGATCACACTGAGCACAGCTCCCAGTAATGTTCCTGGGTGTCTGCAGTGGGGATGGCACAGAGCCCATTAGACTGAATTATTGCCACACAGGGATTTCCTCCACCAGGAAAATCACCGGCTGCCCAAACCCTCTGGTTTCCCACCTGGAGAAGCCCAAGACCTGCCTATGGTGATGATAATTTCTGCCACGGGGGAAAGCAAAGGCTACAGGAACCCACAAAAGGTAGGAATAGACCCGGTCTTGTTCTGATTAAAGCCTTCCCTACCAAAGATGGTGTCTGCTTCTGACACAGAGACGGTCTGCTCCTCCCTTCCCGAGAGGCAGGCAGCCACACAGCTCAGCTTGCTTCCCCCATGTACAACCAGACGCTGTGTGCCTGGCACTTGGTCCCCTGGGCAAGGCAGAGGGCACACCCTGAAGTGCTGGAAAGCTGATGGCAAGAGCCTGATTTGGGAGGGCTGATGGAAAGAAGACATGAGCACAGGAACATAAAGACCCTTCCACTTGTGTCCATGGACTGCAGCCATGGGTCATAGGGTGTCTCATGGCTCCTGTTCCACCCAGTGGTTCCCATCCCACCCAGTCCCCTCTGCAGGTCAGCAAAAGTGGCAAGGAGACCCAAGGTCTCTTTCCCCTGAGAAGAGGTGGGCAGGTAGAGCCAATTTCCATTTGCACCGAAATACTCGCCATTTTCAGATACAATACGCTCAATATTTCATGTAGTGCCCTGTACCGACGTTTGAGGCCACTGATTGGCCAGAGAGGAGGCACAAAGGATATGAAAGAAGAGAATGGAGCAGAGCTCTTGGCAAGCTGTTGTAGACTAGAAAGGAGGCAGGTAGGAACAGAGATGAAGCAAGTACTTAAAAGAGTTATTCGGGAGAAACAAGGGCTTTAAGTGACATTTTAGTATGGGAAAGAAATCAGTATCCGTGGTTTCCTTCGGTGTTCAGAGTGCTAAAAGCAGAAGTGGTTGCTGGAGTCTGAATAGGATTCTGAGGCTGAGCTCTCAGCTTCCTCCCAAATTGGATGAGAAACTATTCACTTGATTTACAGGCTCACTGGCAGAAGAGGACTTCTTTTATAGAATTTGGGTTTTTTTTTTAAACAAATTGCTTTGTGAGCAGTGGAACTAATGGCTCTCGGTTTCCTGTGGGTCTGTGACCCTTGCTTCATAGTTGCCTCCCTTCTCCCCTCTCTTCCTAAAATAAAATAGCTGCAACAAGCCCAATTCTTCCCTCCCTATATGCTCTAAGACTCCTCATTGGGCAGCAGTCAGGTACGTGTATATTGGCTGACCAGCTAATGCATACACAGTCAGCCAGCATGCACACACTCACTAGTCAGTTGGCTGCTGGCTGTATTTCTCTAATTAAGGTCTATCCCTCACCCAGCCATCAATTTGCACAAAATTTAGAAAAGAAATCAATAGCTCTTGAAACGTCTACCTTTCTGTCCTATGTGAAATCAGGTAAAAATTATTGATGGAGCCAGACAGATTGAATTTGAGCTGAAAAGGTTCTGTTGTATTGGCTTTGGATGTACATGTAGGACATCAGTCCAGGTTCTGGAATTAATTTTTCTCTCTCTCTCTTTTTCAGCTATTATTAACCTGGATGTGTTCTGCGATTTGTTTCCCACACAGCATTGAAACTGGCACAGCTGAGGGGTGAGTGAGTGGTGGGAGAGGGGAAGGGGAAATCAGGGAGATGCTCATGTTGGCGCTGCTGCAAGAAATTCTCAGCCTCTTTGATCTGTATAACGTGGAGTCCCATGGAAAAGTTGTGAACATAAATATATTCACAGCCTTAAAGTGCTCAGATATAGGGCAGAAAGAGCTAGAGAAATCAAGATGTCTTGTAAAAATAAAAAACGCCAGAAACCGTGGCCAGTTTTGAAATGTAACATTTTCTGTCATAGTTCAACATCTCAATATTACCCACGTTCCTCTGTGTACATCTCAAGACATCCCTCTGTGTAGGGTGGCCTAAGAAAAATCCTTTTTGTGGCAGCCCAGTCACTGTATAGAGTGCACGTTGACTCACAGGATCAATTCTAGAAACTCTTTATCCAAGTTACTATCCATACAAACCTAAGGCTTGGAAGAACAGAGGTTTTATCTGGAAACTATGGAGGAAAAAGCTTCTTGAGCATTAATTTACAAAATGAGACCTCTGATCGTGAAGCATTTCTTTTCTTCGGTTAAGTATAGATGATTATAATGTGTGAGAGCTGCCATTTCCCCCTGTGTTCTGTTTAACACTGTTTGTTAGACATGAAAGGAAAAGAGGATTAAAAGGGAGAGATGGTATCGTAAACAGCCCTTCAGGGTAGGTGGGAAAACAACAGTAACTCTCTCAAACAGAACACAGGGATGCCCTCAGGAAAAGGTTTTGAAAGTGTCCTGCATTTGAAAGTTAATGAGTAAATAGATCTCAAACATTTCTTTAAAGACTGACAGTGCCAGCTTTAACATCTCAAGCATGCACCACAACTCAGAAGAGACAAAGGGAATTTTTAATGGGCAATAAATGGACTAATATTTTTGGATGCAAAGCTACAAGCGGGTTAGTTCTGATGGGATGTGGGTTTGTTTTGTACTTCCTGACACAGCAGCTTTACTGCATTGGGTTTGCTTGCCTTTTGTTGAGGCACCACTTTTTCCTTTAAAAAGGGAAAAAAAGGTGGTCTTAGTAAATAATCCTCCTCTGAGCTACAGTAACTCCATTGGGTAGAGAGTTTGCTGGTTTTGGAGGTTGTGTAGGCATGTGCCAGACCATCTCACCGCTACCCTGTGATGCCTTACTTCACACCTACCTCAGGCTTCTTGGTCATCTCTGCCCCCGCAGTGTCGCGAGATCACCTTGCACGGGCACCCCCACGCCCCACGCTGGTGAGAGGCTGTTGGCCAGGCAGCAAAACCCCTTTCCACCAGCAGATAACGGCACCGGTGCCATTAGCCCTGCCGCGGGCATGCCCCACTCGTGTCTGGTGGATCCCAGCCGAAGTCCCAAGCTTCCCAACCCTCTTTGGAGCAGTCCCATACTGTTGCACTTCAAATGAACAAACTCTTGATTACCGTCTTCCTGGACGTCAGGCGTGCTGGGGGAAAGCTGGTCTTACCGAGAGCTTTTGTACAGCTCTTGTCGTGGCCTCCTGACTCTCAGGGTCCTCTGCACATGGCTGTCACGAGCTTTCACTGGCTTCAGCCGGGTCCACGAGCATAATGGTGCCTTTGCAGCCACAGGAGCAACCCCAGCAGGAACGCCCAAAAGCAGGTCTCCCTTTCCTTCACCCAGAGCTGGCTCCAGGCACAGATGAAGTCACCTCCTGAGATGGCAGACTTCCTATTTTGCTTATGCCCGGAGAGATAAAAATGGATGTTTCTGATGTAAACACCTCATATGTGCCTACTGCCCTCGGCTGAAGGAAAGGAGCCCGGCACCTTGCCTATTCTCAGCAGCCCATGGAGGGCAGAAAGAGCCACTATGTGGGGAGGAGGAAAGAGAAAAGGAGTGAACTTGCTGGAGAAGAGGGATGGGAAGGACGTGCAGGTTGGAATGGAAATCTTGTATTAAGGAAATTGGCATCAAGCAAGGGTTGGGAGAGGCAGGGAAGGAGAGAAGCATACAGAGAATCCCTATTTCCAGCCAAATGCCAAGGCTATCGAAATCCCTGTATGTCTGGATTTGCCTTTACCTGCCTAGAATCATTAAAAACCCCACTGATGTCCTCCTGACCTTCTACTCACCCAGGGTCCCCAAGACCATATCACCTATTCCCAGGTTACTCTCGATTACCCTCACACCTCAGAAATACATTGGCCGCTTCACAAAACTTCTTCCTACCCCCCATTTTTCCCCAAAATTCCTCTGCCATTACCACAACATTGAGACAGGCCTGCCTACACCAGTGTAAGTTGCCAGCCTAAAAAAAGAAGAGGGAACCAGCTCCCTAAGCTTTAGACACCCAGACACGAGGGAGCATGTGCCAGGCCTTGACAGGACACACTAATGACACCTCCACCCTTTTATCACAGCTCCTTTCTGGCTCACCTTATTCCTAAGGGTCAGCCACTGCCTTTCAGTGCTTTCCCAGATGATAAAAAAACCACTTAGTTTAACTTTTCTGCTCAGTCATTATGTCCTACCTCTTCCAGAGCAACTAAAATCCCAGTCTGCTCACACCTTCATGCCAGAACCAGGCTCTCAGAGCTATGGGCTGTACTCCTCCTTGGACGCCTCCCATCCTTCTCCCTGCACTCAGCCTCACCATGCAATGTTCCAACTTAGTGCAGCATCTGCCCTCTCTGCAGGAGAGGTGCCTGCACTCCTGCACCAATCTCTTGACTCCCCAGCCCTGCAAACTTGAATACTTCAACCCTTGGAGGGCAGGCTTGGCTCTTCTGTGTCCTCTTCCTGCCTTCTCAGGACATTTCTCAGTGCATTCCCAGTCTCCTCCTTCTCATTAGCTTCTGGGTTAGTCTTCCTTGAGCTTATCCCTATCTAAGTGACAGGCTGCCAGGCAGGCACATAACCTTCCACCAGGGAATGCAGCTTTGAGCTGATAAGGGCACGACTTTAAACCGGTTCTCCGGCCCCATCAGTGATGACACCACGCGGGGTCAGCTCTGCTGTACCTTCTCTTTACCCTGTGGAAGTTACCACCAGCGAAAATGCTAGCTTTATACTATTCAAAAGGAAGAACTGTGTTTAGTCCACCTTTCATATACAGATACATACCTACCTAGGTACACATACAGACATTCATATATTGGCTCCACTGAATCCTGTCCAATTTCTGGCATCCTTCTGAGCAACTGGACCATGAAAGGGCAAGGAAGAAGGCACTGAGATGCTCTATGTGTCTATGAGTGAGAGAGACTACCTGCACCAGTGGCCGTGTTCTTCGGTGCAGTCCCAGCCCCGGGCACCCAGAGGACACAGCCAACTGGCACAAGGCTCTAGCCAAGCTTGTGACCCTCTTTGGAAAAACTCAAGAGTTCAGCTTTCTTCTGGGTGATAAAGTTGGTATTGTGAAGAAACAAGAAATACGAGTCCTGCTCAAGAGCTGTGCTGTGCCCCAGGCTAGAATACCATCCCAGGTTTCTCCCTCCAAATAGAAGTGAAACAATGAGGTATTCTCAGCACAGCCCTGGGTGGAAGGCCCTGCTCGCTGGGGGTGCGCGCAGCGTGTGGCCCCCACGGGTGATGATGTGACCTGGGACTGGGGACAGGTGGGGCAAGGGAACATAAACCCATCCAGGCAAAGGGTTTCCTCATGGTGCAGAACCGAAGAGGAGCTTCAGCACCGTGCCTTCCCTAGGCAATGTTAGGTTGTCTGGATGCCTCTCGCTGGATTTGACTCACCAAGAACAGCATCGCACCCAGCACAAGGTGAAGCACAGGGCAGAGGAACTGCGTGGGCAGGTGTATGCAGACAAGCAGATGGAAAAGGTAGGTGCTCCAATACTGTTATGGCAGGCATAAGAAGAAAGAGGGAGAGGTTGAAGAAGGCTAGAAAAAAAAAAAAAAAAAAACAACTCAGAATTCTTCTTACCGTGCATGAGATCAAATATAGAGCAAGGGTAGGTCTGCAACTTTTCAATGGGAGGAGGAAGCCCCTCAAGCTAAAAACTGTGCTCCCATTTCCCATCCCCATCCACTGCCCAAAGACTCATGGCAAGCAGCAGTATCAGGTGTGGAACTCCATCCTTAGTGGATTTCAACCGAGCAATCCCCCAATTCAAGCAAACACCAAATCCTATCACAGCTCAGGGGGTGGCCAGTCTCCCAGCTTGTTTCCTGCTCCTTCCGTGCTATACCTCATACTAAACGTGGATTTATTCTTCAGACACTTGGACTAAACAAAACAGTCCCGTTACCACCCCTGGAAAACCACACTCCAATATCCCTTCCCTTCAGTCCCCTCGCTGCAGCGCGGTGCGAGGCATAAGTCATCTGTCCAAGTGCAGGTGTCAAACTCAGATAAAAATCTCCCAAGACTCCAGTAAGTGTACTGACTGGATCTCCGCTAACTGTAACGGGCAAGCTGCGCTCCAGGACTCACTGACACCTCCCCAAAACCCTGTGGATACACAGTCAGAGACCAAAAGCCAGACCTCTAACGTGCTACAGAAAAATAGCAGGCGTTGCGAGCTTCTCACGTCCTGCCATAGCAGGGACTGCTTGGCAGGTATTTTAGAGTGAACACATCTAGACCTCTAACTCTATTCCTGTCCAAAACTGGTGTGTATTTTTCCTTGGACAGTGCCCAATCTGCAGAGTTAGTGTTTTCCACACAAAAATGCCTGGTTGGTAAACTTCCAAGAAGTTCTATTTTTGATTCAATGAAGAATGGCAGCTTTCCATGGAACTTACTTTTCTTTACTTCTTTCCCTCTTTCTCCCCCCCACCCCTCAAAACAAAACAAAAAAATTGCTAGAAAGTCCATAAATTTTCATTTGGAAGTGCTCCTTGGGGGCCCCATGGTTGTCAGAGTTCAATTGTTCCGTTCTGCAGGAAGTTGGATGGTTTCTTTAGTAGTCCTTTTTTACCTTGAAAAAATACGGGGTGGGGTGTGGGGTGTAGGGGTGTGTCCCCATCTTTACCTTTTCCTTGAATTGTTTTTCCCTCCTCTTGAAGAAAGTGCAGTGGAGGCTCTGCCGTA